GGCGGCCCAGACAGAGCTCGCAGTGAAAACCTCGGAGGCAAGTCCACTGGCCAGTTACCAGGCCAGGGACGCCGTGTTAAGCATGGCGCTGGTGGATTCCGACTCCCGCGGCCCGCTGGTGGTACTTGGGGACTCCAGCGGACGCGTCGTGCTCTGGCGTCCGGGGGCGGACACGGAAGAGTTCGTCTTGGACCTGCTGCGGCCCGTGCCAAGTTTATTGATTGTGGGACGCAGCCGGCTATTGGTCGCGACCGGGCGGAAACTGCTCGAGTTTGACCTGTACACGTGTGTCCACCAGTACCTACAGAACGACCGGGTGCCGCTGGTGCGCGAAATGCTAAAGGCCGACATCTGGAACCAACCAGACACGGCGGCCGGCAATGCGCGAATGGATGGCGATGCACAGGCGAGTGAAGGTGTGCACACGAGTGAAGGTGTGCAAATTGGTGACATAAAGACCATGTTGGTCAACGAAGGCCAGACGCTCCTGGCGGGCGTGGTCGACCAGTCGTTGGTGGTGTGGGATGTGCTGACACGGGCAGTAAAGTACGTGAATGTGAATGAGCAAATTTATTCGGTTCAGTTCGCCCTAAACAAGCCTACGTTGAAAAACCTATGTGACGACGCCATGCCTGCCAGGCTCCCGACTTCCAATCCGCAATTGTTCGTTCCACCCCAACTTCAAACAACAGCCTGCGTCACGGGAATGCACAGACAGCACGTGTTTGCCGAGCCGGAAGCACTCACAAAGCTCTTCGATGCATACATTGAGTCTTCACTCTACGTCTCGCGAAAGCGTCCCCTCGACCTCCCCCGGGACCAGCAGTTCGCCGTTAACGCAGTTATTCAACTCGAAATGAAGAGCACACAACTTTCACAAGACCAAGCAATGAAAGAAAATAAATTACAGAGACTTACTACCTTCTTCAAAGCATTGGACCGCCGACCAGTATGTCCCCCTGTCGACCGACATCAACCTGGAACCGATACCTCCCATCTACTTCGGCTCATGTATCAGTCTGTTAACCCACTCTTACCCGGGCCGGTGAAAAGGCCTTCAAAATTTAAGCAAACCAAAACTGCCTATTTCGTCCCGCCAGCAAGCTGGACCAAACAGTAATCCCGCCATCAAGCCGACCGCCATCCAACGAGCCAAGCAACACGGCTGGTTGGACCCGTTCCGCGCGGCGTTATAAATTAGAACCACGCGGTTTTATAAGACGCAGAAGTTTTTTATATGAGGTTGTGGTGTGCAACATTCTTTATGCAGCACCCCTAGCGTGTGTCATTGCTGTGGCTACTGGTCAATTTCCCGGAGCTGAATCTTAACGTCCACTGTAGGGTCTCTTTGCTTGTGAACGAATTCAGAAACTAGGCCTTGGGAGTCACAATCATTCGAGCAAGTATATACTGCGAGGATGCCAAAGGCCAGTTCCAGGTTGGTGAGCACATTCAAGCTGTCAAGGAGCGATGACTGCACCTGAAATTCGAACCTTCGCGGCGCCCCACACGCTTCACATGCCGGGACGGCCGTGCAAACATCCTGCGAACAAAACCACAACGGACAGCCGGCCCCGTACCGGATCACGTGGCTGGGCATAGACTCCATGTAGTTGATGTATGCGTCCAGGACCGCGTCCTGGTTAATCTCCGGCACCTTGTTCATCTCTCGCACGGGCCCCACAACCGGGTGCTCACCATCGTCTTCCAACGCCGCATCGTCTTCCAACGCCGCATCGTCTTCCAACGCCGCGTCATCCGAATCAGCGGAAACTGGAGACGCATTCTGTTCCAGAGCCACGCCGGTTTCGACCTTTGCCAGCACGTCCATATGATTATCCGGTTCCGTCTCCGGATCTTTCGTATCTGGTTTTTCCGTCTCCGGCTCCTCCGTGATTAGGCACTTTTGTGGAACTTCTTCTTCGATCCAAATGTCCGACCGCGGTAGCACCGGGCTTTGGTCGAGGTATCCGGCCAAGTAGTTCTGACACCGCAGGTGTAGCGGCGCTCCCTGCGCCTGGGGCTGCCTACGCGTCGCTGTTGTTTCCTGCGTCGCTTGCGTTTCCTGGGTTGCAGGCAAGAGACACAGGCGGCAGCACGAGGTCTTGAGTTGCAGGGTCAAGCGCTCGATGTGGCCGGTGTCGTCTTGGGGCCGTGGTGGCAGCCATTCGTTGAGTTGCGGTGCCAGCGCGCGGTATGCTCGCACATCCTTGCCGCAGGACCAGCAGCTCAGGACGTAAATCATGCGGTGGAAGCCGTTCTCACTGGGACTATAAATCTGACACAAGAACACTAGCGGGGTGCTGCAATGTGTGCAACTCAGCATAGACGGCACTTGCGCCGGGCTCAACCAACCTGGAAGCCCTCCACAGCGACTCTGCAGCCACCGCTCGACCTCGCCCTCATCGCCGCTTTCTTCCCGAGTACAGTAGCCCAAACACGGCATCGGCTCCGGGAACACACAATTTTATTTCCATCTCTCCCGGGCATCCCTTTCTCCAGGCATCCCTGCCTCTCCGGGCATCCCTTTCTCCGGGCATCCCTGCCTCTCCGGACATCCCTTTCTCCAGGCATCCCTGCCTCTCCGGACATCCCTTTCTCCAGGCATCCCTGCCTCTCCCGGGCATCCCTTGCAGTTGGAATTTTGTGGAAGCTTCTTTCCCCCATTCTTTTTCCCATGTGGGGTGTTGGTAACTATTAGCGCGTTCACAGAGTTAGGGTGGCATGACACAGTGGCATAAATTTCCGGGACTTGTTGAGTTCCGAGGATGATCCTGTTTCAGGATTTGTGTGAAGTAGGAGAACGAGTGTGTGAAGTTAAAGGTACTACTGGTCGTCGTATCCTATACGAGTTTATACAGCGGTCTAAAGAGGGTTTAGAATTTGATGAGTTTTACATATTTATAAGACTCGTTCTTCCGCAGTTGGATGATGTGAGAAAGAGTTTCGGATTGAAGGAAGTATTGTTGGGTAAGATATATTCTGAATTACTATCTTTGAATGATACGGAGATGAAACGGCTTCGTTATTATAAGGACCCCAACAAAGCTCTGGCCAATATCAATACGCCTAAAGGCATAGTAAGACAGACATCTTATCAATTGTCATGATTGTAGCAAGTCGGAAACTTTCCTTCTGTTCTTTACTATACGCTAGCATCCAGACTTTCCTGTACGGAGTCGAGCATGACCATGGTACAAGTCAATGAATGGCTGGACCTACTATGGGGCAGCCAAGATGACAAGTAATTAGATTCAGCCTCCACCCCTCGGTCTGATACACACCCCTGAGCCTCCACCCCGTGATTGATTGATCGTGACTGATTGAACGTTTTGTAGCAAAAGGAGATATGAGTTGTTCCAGAGGATCATCAATGAGTGCCCACCATTGCACCACAAATGGATTGTGAAACTTGTATTAAAGAGTACTACTTCTCACCACCACTCTCTGGTGGGCTATAACCACTCTCTCTGGTGGGCTATAACCACTCTCTCTGGTGGGCTATAACCACTGTCTCTGGTAGATCTGGAGTTTTCAATTGGTTATGAAACTATTCTGAAAATGATTCATCCGACTGGTGCAGAATTGTATAACAGTAATGGACAATTGAGGTTAACATTGGAAGAGGTTTGGTCCAAGACCACTCCCGCTTCGCTTCCCTTGGCCGGCGGTGTGACTCGCAATCCTAAGCCTATGTTGGCCAAGGCCGTGTCGCTGGAGCAGGTCCCGAATACCTGCAGGTCGCTCGTTGATGGGAGTATGACTGCCGTCGCGATCGAGCCCAAATTAGACGGCGAAAGACTGTTGTGCCGTTATAAACGTGCTTCTGAAGACGATGATGTTGAGCTCCTCTTATACACACGCAGCGGCAACAGCGACTACCCATCAATGTACATACCGTACTTGAAGACCTTCTTCGATGGCGCTATTTCGTCCACGTGAGTACCCCTACCCTGAGAATCACCCCCCCCCCGAGTA